GGGGCCGTTATCATTCAAACACCACAGCACTGGGAACATCTCGAAACCTCAGACAGTGGAATACTGAGCGGAAGTGAGGGTAAACAAACCCCACCCACATACCGTGGAAACACAACTAAGAAAAGCAGAGTGCAGGAGAACACATATAAACCGTCTCACGAAGCTCAGAGACCACGTGAAGTTACAAAAGAAGAAGTAGGGGAGGAAGGAGGAAGAGGGCTGGCAAGATGGCCCAGCCGGTAAAGACTCTTGCTGCTTAGCCTGACGACCCGAGTTCAAACCCCGGGTCCCATACGATCGAAGGAAAGAATGCCCACACATTGTCCTCTGACTCCTCCACGTGCCATGGCGTGTGCAGCCCCACAATAAATATAAATAAGTGAGTAACAGATGTAATAATATGTTTTACAGTGAGGGAGGGTAAATCCAGAGCTGTGAAGTGCATATAGGTCTGGAGGCTGTAAATGAGGGGAACCAGAGCCACCTTCAGAGGTAACAGGTGTGCTAGTTTGGGGGGAAGCTCTGGTGTTTTATGCTTCATAACTCTTATGAATACTGCACATATTAACTCGCCTATGCAACTGTGTGTAAAGTAGTTGAGGAACAATTGAAACGCTGAAAGTATGTCATTGAAGAATGTGTACAAAGCTCGCTAGAACTCCGGCCTTTGGAAGCTTCTGGAAGCCTTCCCCTCACCCCCAGCAGAAGGTTTGGGCTTCCAGGACTCTGGCGTCACTACTCAGGCTGTCGCTGTGGGCACTGCGAGAACTCCGCCTCAGAGGCTGCATTTCTCACAGGTGGGGCTCTCTGGGGCCCAAGCATGTCCCCCCACCAACCTGATGTAGGAACCTTGGGTGCTGGTTGACAGAGGGAAGGCTTCCTTACTCACTGTGAGCCAGAGAAGTTTAGGGAGCCTCCTCAAACTCACCTGACCACAAGGTGACAAGCTGCTATTTTTTTTTTTTAATTTCATTTAATTTTATCTTTTTTTTTTCCTTTTCTGGAGCTGAGGACCGAACCCAGGGCCTTGCGCTTGCTAGGCAAGCGCTCTACCACTGAGCTAAATCCCCAACCCCTAATTTTATCTTCTTGAGACAAGGTCTGAGACTTTGAAACCTTGGCTGTCCTAGAACTCACAGAGACCCACTTTGCTCCTATTAAGATTAAAGATTAAGCTCGAGGTATGGCACACGCCTTTTATCTCAGCACTCTGGAGGCAGAGGCAGGAGGATCTTTGAGTCCCAGGACAGCCAAGGACACAAAGAGAAACCTCTGTCTCAAAAAAACCAAAAGAAGAAGAAAAAGAAGGTGGTGGAGGAGGAGGAGGAGAAGAAAGATGTTCTTTAAAACAACTTATTTTTATTTATGCATATCTCTCTCTCTCTCTCTCTCTCTCTCTCTCTCTCTCTCTCTCTCTCTCTCTCTCAGTGTGTGTGTGTTTCCTCTGAGACCAGCGAGAGTTACAGACAGTAGTGAGCTGCCCTATGTAGGTATTGGGAGAACTTGGGTCCCCAGAGAGCAACAATCCCTCTTGACCACTGAGCCATCTCTCCAGCCCCTACCATTTTCTTTTCCACCCAAGGATCAAGACTCTGGAGGTAAAGAGGGAAAAACAGAGAGAGCACCCTTCTGGTGTTGCACCTATTGTCCCGTCCTCCCCGTGGTGAGTGGGAGGAGGCAGGGCCCCTGACCATGGCCGCTGATTGCTGGGGACCATCAGGTTGCCCTGGCTTGGTAGCTGCAGTCTACTTGACCCTCCCTGAGGCCCCAGGAGAGGTGGAGAGAGCAGAGGCCAGGCGCCAGGAAAAGCCTCTTTCCAAGCACGCAGTCTTTGGAGGGCGAAGAGAGACTCTTGTGTTTATTACCCAGGAACACATGTGAGGACATGAGCACACGCTGGCTTTTCTGAACCCCTGGCCAGATGTGTTGCTGCTGCTTGCTGATAGGAAGTTCGACGTTCGGTTTGAAGAGTCACATATACCTAACTTAAAAATGCAATGTTCCCGAGACTCCGCGGTGGTTAATTTATGCAAGGTACTTGGGCTCACTTTTTTCCCCCCTTGGCCTAATGAGTGGTTTATTTTTTTTAAACAAACATTTATAATCATTATTTTATACAGATATAGATATGTAAATACAACATGAGTTCAGTGGTCCTAAAGCATTTTCCACTTAATTTTTTTTTTTTTTTTAGCAATAAACAGGTTATAATTCCAAAGTCCAGAGTTATTTGAAACTGAAAAATATTTTCTCTGTAGAAAATAGTAAAAACGGGGCTGGAGAGATGGCTCAGAGGTTAAGAGCACTGACTGTTCTTCCAGAGGTCTTGAGTTCAATTCCCAGCAACCACATGGGGGCTCACAACCATCTGCATTGAAATCTGGTGCCCTCTTCTGGCCTGCAGACACACATGCAGACAGAACATTGTATACATAATAAATAAATAAATAAAAAAAAAAAAGAAAAGAAAAGAAAATAGTAAAAATGATAACATTTCCCAGTAAGCCCTTTGAAGCCCAATAATGGCTGAATTATACATATAACTATTTATTAGATTCTAGGATACAGAAGAGACCTATCTTCATCTGTTCAGAGAGCTGTTTTACTAAAGTTGTGTAAGTGAGATTCCTGTTCATCTTCCCCTTCACTGTTTGATTTACAGCAGACATTTTTCTATAGGCTAATCCATAATCTAAAAAGATTTTAGCCTCCTCTCCTGAAAGTACAGCCAAGATATCCTTCCATCAACTTGATTCGGTACATATTCTTATCCTAATAGTGAAATGTTTCACTGAGGCTTGCCCAGTGACTGGGTAAAACCAAAACTTACTATAAGCCACAGTCATCCTAGGGTCCCCCCTGCTATGTAGCCTCTCTGGTTCTGTGGGTTGCAGGCTGATTGTTCTTTATTTTATATCTAGAATCCACTTATGAGTGAGTACATACCACGTTTGTCCTTCTGAATCTGGATTACCTCACTCAGGATGATATTTTCTAGTTCCATCCATTTGCCTGCAAATTTCATGCTGTCATTGTTTTTCTCTAATGAGTAGTACTCTATTGTGTATATGTGCCACATTTTCTTCATACCTGGGCTCATTTTTGTCTTAGATTCTGTGAGTCCTTAATCTGAACTAGGAAATGAGTGGATTGAGACTACCAGGCTGGCCTTAAGCTTTTGGTGATCTCCCTGTCTCAGGCTCTCAAATGTGGGGTTTACAGAATCACTATGCCTACCTGACTCAATGTTTCTTGAATCTTTAATTTATTTTTTCCCAGGGAATGAAGAATATGTTTAGTTTTTACTTCCCAACTTGCTTCCTAGAATAAAAACAGCTGTGCCCAGATGTTTACAAGATAGGTATGTGTTTAGATTCCTGGTCAGAGCAGAGAGAGTCCAAAGCCTTGGCTCTTTTCTCCTTGCTGAGAGTAATTCTCTATGTTGGTTACCACCTATAAAATGGGCCCATGTGCACCCTCTAACACTGAGACTTCTTGTCCATTTGTGCATGCGGGGTTCACACCCAGGTGAATCATTTGTTCACCTGTGCATTTGTGCATACTGGGTTCACACCCAGGTGAATCATTTGTTCACCTGTGCATTTTGTCAGTTGCAAAAGGGTGCCTACATGTGCCAGGCACCGTTCTAGACACTGAGATAAAATAGGGTGTTTTTTAAAGTTAGGGAGTGGTTTTCTTTCTTTCTTTCTTTCTTTCTTTCTTTCTTTCTTTCTTTCTTTCTTTCTTTCTTTCTTTCTTTCTTTCTTTCTTTCTTCCTTCCTTCCTTCCTTCCTTCCTTCCTTCCTTCCTTCCTTTCTTTCATTCATCCATCCATCCATTTAGTGTGTGTGTGTGTGTGTGTGTGTGTGTGTGTGTGTGTTTGAGGTTTGAGACAGGGTTTCTCTGTGTAGTCCTGGCATCCTGGCTATCCTGGAACTTGCTCTGTAGACTAGGCTGGCCTTGGACTCAGAGATCTGCGTACCCCTGTCTCTGCCTCCTGAGTGCTGGGATTAAAGGCAGGCACCCCCACTGCCTAACTTATTTTTAATGTTGATTTAATAATAAAAAGTAAATAACAATATTATTGTGTGCGTGTGGTATGGGCGTGTACATGCCATAGCATACGTGCTCAGAGGACAACTTTTGGGAGTTGATTCTCTCCTTGCCCAGCTCAGATCCTCGGGCGTGCATGGCAAGCATTTTTCCCTGCTGAACCATCTTGCTGGCTCTGTGGTAAAGTCTTGATAAAGAGAGATTTGGATTTGGTTTTGTGACTCGTGTGACGGGTGCCATAATCGGGGAGTTGACACAAATAAAGGCTTAAATCAACTGGGACTCGGGCACACCACTTCGGGAAGGGGACCGAGGCTGAGACCTGAAGTGCACACGATGTTCTGCTGTGGGGATGGCATGGGAGTGTTAGGACCCAGGCAGAGCAAATCGGAGAGAGGGAGAGAGGGAGAGAGGGAGAGAGGGAGGCTCTGGAGGTCCACCAGCAGGTGGTGAGAGGAGGCTCTGAGGCCAGGCAGGAATCCAGAGGTGGGAGGTGCCCTGGGCCCTGCCGAACATCTGGATCTTCAGTCTGTGAGCAGGGTCGTGGCTTTGTTTGTTTGTTTTCTTTCTTTTTTAAGGCAAGGTCTCGAAATATAGCTCTTACTGACGCAGAACTTGCTATGTAGAGACCCATTTGACCTCAGCCTTGAACTCACAGAGATCCGCCTGCCTCTGTCTCCCAAATGCCGGGATTAAAGGCATGTGCCTCCACAATTGTCTCCTTAAAGGGTTTTCTAATCAAGGGAGCTGGATTGCTGGATTATGGCTTGAGAAAGTGCATTCTAGCAGACAGCTAGGTGGTCTGGGAGGCTTCTGGAGGCCAGGCAGATGTGATGTAGGCTGGACAAAGGGAGGACTCCAGCGTATTACCGTGGAGGCCTTTGAGGTCTCCAGATCACAAGCAAAGTCCTATTGCTGTGGCTCACTCTGTGTATTTTCTTCCCCAGAGGTGGCAAAGGGTACGGTGACTAGCCTGCCCGGGGCCACTGTCACCCTGATCTGCCCTGGGAAGGAAGCAGAAGGCAATGTCACCATTCGATGGGTGTACTCCGGCTCACAACACAGACGGTGGACGACCATGGGAAACACCCTGCTTCTGAGGGCAGTGCAGCTCAGTGACACGGGGAACTATTTGTGCTTCCTGGATGGCCACCTGGTGGGGACTGTGCCCTTGCTGGTGGATGGTGAGTTGTGCCCTCAGTGTCCTGGGAAGTGGTCCTTCGGCAGCTCCAATGTCCTTAACCATGCGCCTGCATTCCGGAGAGGTTCCCCGATTTATCCTTTAAGTTTGTTGGTTTTTTTTTTTTTTTTTTGGGCTCAAGAGTTTCGGGAAAGGGGCCACCGCTCTGCCTGTGACACAGGAACTTGTGGCTGCTGGTGGAAGCTGTGTGGCTGTGTGGCAGATTTAACAGCCCTGGACTCACAGCCAGGCATCCCGGCTTAACTCTTGCTACATCCCTCAGATTCTTCTGGCAAAATAAAGTGACCTTTATCATGTTTGTGGAGAGTGTTATAAAGGTGAAGTGTTTGAGGGTGAAGATTCTGCCCCCAGCACACACGAAACTCTCGGATGGCACACCCCGAGGACTGGCAGGTGAAGGGCTCCCTGGTCTCCCAGGAAGACTGTAGGTCCCATGCCCTGTGTGCAAGCCACATTCTTCTTTATCTCCCATAGTCCTTCTGGTGTCCCTGTTCATGTTGTATCAAAATCAGTTCATTTCAGATGAGGAACCTGAAGAGAGCCTGGCTCAGTCAAAGGCACAGGCTTCGCGTCATCTTTTCAGCCCTTTAGAGCAGTGGTTTCCAACCTTCCTAATGCCGCGAACTTTTAACTCAGGTCCTCGTGGTGTGGTGACCCCCACCCATAAAATTATTCCGTTGCTACTTCATAGCTGTGATTTTGCCACTGTTATAAATCATAATGTAAATATTTTTGGAGACAGAAGGTTGGCAGAAGGGTCGCGACCCACAGTTTGAGAACCACGACTTTAGACAGAAGCCCAAAGGGTGAATGGTGCCTTTCTTCCCTTGCTGGGGATCTGATCTGCTGGCCAGGATGTCCCTGGGAGAGTTGTGTCTCGTGGCTCCATGCTGAACCAAGGCGTCCCCTCGGCCGGGAGGAGTGATGGGTAGACAGAGGTGCCCAGGAAAGCCTTGCACTCCCTTCATCCCGCTGAGTTCTCTTTCAGTTCCTCCAGAGGAGCCCAAACTCTCCTGCTTCCGGAAGAACCCCCTTGTAAGTGCTACTTGTGAGTGGTTCCCAAGCAGCAGCCCTTCTCCAACGACCAAGGCTGTGCTGTTCGTGAAGAAAATGTAAGTGATGGGCGGGGCTGAGTGTTCATGTTTAGTTGATGCTCGCTGGGGTCCCCGAGCTGAGGGGGACAAGGTTGGAAGGCCTCAAGCAACTGATGGACTCACTGGACAGGGACCATTTTGTTTTTCTTTTTAGGTTTATTTTACTTTGTGCATAAGAATGTTTGGCTTACGTGCATGTATGTGCACCACACGCATGCCTATCAGATCCCTCTGGGGCCTATGGAGGGTTGTGAGCCACCATGTGGGTGTTGGGAGCTGAATCCAGGTCCTCTGCAAGAGCAACTAGTGCCTGCAGCCACTGAGCCTTCTCTCCAGCCTCAGGACCAATGTTTTAGCAGGAGACCTCTATTCCAAATCTGTCACGTGAACTGTGTAAGGCCTTGTCTTTGATCCTCACTTACTCCAAAAGTTTAAAAAATAAGTAAGTCAAAAAGAATTCCTTTGGAATAAAGGAACCGAGCCCCATGATGGGCATTGGTGTTAATTCAGTGTAGCTAGCCCAGCAGCTGTGGGAAACGGGTGCTCGGTTCAAGGAGACTGATTAATTTGCTTAAGGTCACCTAGCTAGAAAGTGGTTCTAGGTGGCCAGGAAGAGAATCCAATCCCAGAATGGGCTGCCCAATTTCCATCAAGGTCCAAAGGTTTTAGGTGTTTCCTAAAGAAAGTGCAGATGGCCCTGGGGGTAGGGTGAGGGCTGGAAGGGCTGTTATCCAACACTTTGACCCTGGAAGCCTTACAAAGGCAGGGGCCAGGGAGTGGTCATGGGTGGGGGTGAGGTGCTACCCCTCCAGGCAGAAGTTGGGACCTAGGGTGGCTTCAGCCAGGGAGGTAGAGGAAGTGTTACAGTCTTCATCCCGAGCCTAGCCTGTTGAGCCCAGACATTTGTAATCAAGTTTGAGTGATCGGAGTATGTTAGCCTCCTTATTGGTTCTTTCTGCGGGTTCGGTTGCCATCAGTCAACCACGGCCCCAGAATATCAAGTGGAAAATTTCAGAAGTAAGCAAATGCACGTTTTAAGTCGTATCATTCTAAGTAATCTTATGAAATCCTGTGCAGTCCCTCCCAGGCTACCTGTGCGGTTGGCTGCACAGAACTCTTAGTCATCTGGTTGTTGGTGTTTGTGGGCATCAAGCCTGGCCCCAGGCAAGAGCGGCAAGAGCAGGAAGTGAGCAAGAGTAGGCGCCAGAGCAGAAAACATGAACGCAGATTCACCCGGGAGTAGCAGACACTCACTGTGTACCAGGGCAGAGCCTGGTACTCTCAGGTCTCAGGTCCCTCACTGAAGGGTCTGGGAAACACCCCCAGCACGTATGAGAGAACTTACATGTTAGTTAGGAAACCAGTGTGGTGACCAGCAAGGGTTGGGCCCAGCGTTCATACCTGGGTCTGAGGTTGGTTACTTGTTTCCCAGTGGCAGGAAAGTGGGAGGGGTCTCCGGCTTCCAGGTCAGGTGGGATGATGGTATCCGACTTCCCTTGACCATCCTCAGTATGCAGAGCCCCTCCCATCTCAACCCCCTTCCATGCGAGCTTTGAGCATTTGCAAAGCGTTCTGTATCACCCTAGGCCAGGTCTTTTGAGCACTGGGACGGGGAAGGACTTTTCTCATTCATTTCTGCATCCTTTATAGCAGGAAGGACAAGAGCCAGGAAGGAATTCAGAGGTCATGACACAGGACAAGAGAGAGACCAGAGAGGCCTTCTCCTCTGCTCCCCCTGCATTGGCTGGGCTTTGCCATAGACCCTATTGGATAGCTAGGTATTGATGCCTTTAGCATAGACTCTATCGGAAAGGTATTGATGCTTTTAGCATTCCCATTTTCTAGGGAGAAAAACAAACTCTTGGGTTGAAAAACTTGCCTAGAAACTAATAGGAGTCAACACTGGCTGAGCGGAAGCCCAGAAACTAGACACCAGTTCCCAAGCTTTCAATCCCTGGGCCAGACTTAAATTTCTCTTGCAAAAAGAACGGAAATTGCTAGAATGTGTGCGCCTCCCTCCGTTGTGTCCCACAGCAACAGCACCAACTCCAAGAGTGACTTCCAGGTGCCCTGCCCGTATTCTCAGACGTCCAGAAGCTTCTCCTGCCAGGTGAAAATCCTAGAGGGTGAAAGAGTTTACCACATAGTGTCACTGTGTGTTTCGAACAGTGTCGGGAGCAGTTCCAGCAGCCACGTGGCATTTCAGAGCTTAAAAATGGGTAAGCAGGTCCCAGCCCGCAGCTGCTTCCTTCTCTTGTGGGTATGTTCCTGATCTGCTTCCGGGAGAGGCAGGGAAGATGTGCAGAGCGCCGTGGGACTTTTGGGGCCCTCTCAAGATGAACACAGGGGTGCGGAGGGGTGGTCCAGTGAATGAGTTCTCGCCTACCAGGTGCAAGGCGCTGGGTTCCATTCTCACTACATAAATCGAATGCAAACATTTCTGGGGAGTGGTGTGCGCCTCGGGGTGGGGGTGTCTGCAGAGCTTTTGCGGGGGTCCCTTCTGCACCATGCTTGCTGCTGCTCAGAAGCCCTATCTATTCCTTCTCCACAGTGCAGCCTGACCCGCCTATGAATCTGGTCGTATCGGCCATACCTGGAAGGCCTCGCTGGCTCAACGTCAGCTGGCAAGACCCCGAGTCCTGGGACCCACGTTACTACATGCTGAAGTTTGAGCTTCGATACCGACCCGTGTGGTCAAAGACATTCACCGTGTGGCTGGTAATTAATTCATTTCCTTTTTTTTTGGAGACAAAGTTTCATCCTGTAGTAGCCTTGAACTCCTGATAATGCTCCCGCCTTAACCTCCCGTTCTGTAATTACTAAAGTGAGCCTCTATGCCCAGATCAAAACTATTTCTAAACAGAAAAATGCCCCCTAGATCCTTGGGGGCAAGTAGGACACTAGAAAAGAAGGGGGATTCTGGGTCTGGCTCTGTACCGTTCCTTCCTTCATAGTCTTGGGTGAGCCGTTTAATTCTGGGAGTCTTGGCTGTGTCTTTATAAATGAGACTAATAATGCCGGGCCCCTTCTGACCGGCCTGCTCGTGAGAATCAGAGCAAAAGGATAATGCCGGGGTCTCTGGAAAGCAAGGGCTGCAGCTTGAAGGGGGTTCTCTAACCCACAGTGACGGAAGCCCGCGTGGCTGAGAACAACTCCATCTCACTCAGCCTGTCTGCCAAGTGGACAGCAGGGTGGTCAAGGGTACCCTCTCCCTGTAGCGTTGCCCCACCGGGGCGCCCGCCGGGACTCACCATGTCTCCATCCTCAGCTCCGGGCGGCCGAGTACCAGTGCATCATCCATGATGCCTTGCGAGGCGTGAAGCACGTGGTGCAGCTCCGTGGAAAGGAGGAGCTTGAGACTGGCCAGTGGAGCGAGTGGTCCCCGGAAGTCACGGGCACTCCTTGGATAGGTACCTGGGTCTGCACGGAGGGAGGGAGGTTGGGACACATCTCAGCAGTCCAGTACTGTGTGGCAAACCACGCTGAGTCAACACCCCCAACCCCTTCATTTTATTTCTTCATTCAGAGAGTACTTCTTTTAGTCCAGGCAGGCCCAGAACTTTCCACACAGTTAAGAAAACCTTGAGTTTCTGATTCTCTTGGCCTCCACCTCCCAAGCACTGGGTCAATCGTAGCTCTTGTCTGCGTGTCTTACCGGGTCACTGATGCTCTGAATCCCAGGCTCTCGGACCTGGAGGGGCAAGTCTAGCTGCACTCGTGAGTTGGGAGCTCACTAGGGGCTGGGCCCTTTTCTCCTTACAGGTCTTCCTTCTAGTGGGCGAGCCTCAATTGAGGGCAGCAGGGAGGGGGGCGAGGGCAGAGGATGGGAGGATCTCCAAAGAAGATCGTGCTTAATTGACTGATGCTAGTTATCGTTAGGAAATGACAAGGTGGTCATGTTTGGGGGGAATTATTGAAATCTCCCAAAGCGTGCATGTGAGTCACTTCTCACTGTTAATGATAAAAGTCTGAACAGTCGGCTTAAGGGCAAAGGGACTCTTTTGACTCTGAGTTTCTGAGGGCTGGGGCTGGTTGGCCGGTTCCATTGCTTTGGGTCTGAGGTGGGACAGAGAAGGTGTGACAGACCAGAGCTGCCAACCTCAGGCCAAGGAAGCAGGAAGCAGGAGAAACAGGCTAGGACAAGATGTCCCCTTCAAGGGTGTACCCAGTGACCTGCTTCCTCCAGTCAGGCCCCACCTCCCAGTTATATCAGATTATGATTCCAAGCCAGGTATGTTGGCGCACGCCTTTAATCCCCTGGCACTTGGCAGGCAGAGGCTGGTGGATCTCTGAGTTTGAGGCCAGCCTGGTCCACAGAGTCAGTTTCAGGACAGCTGGAACTATATAATGAGACCCTGTCTTGAAAAACAACAAAAAGAATAATTTGAAAAGAGGTTAAGTCAGAGGCAAAGCCTCAGCTCTGTACCGCATTGTATTGAGACGAAGCCTACATACAGCATGTGAGTGTTGGGTATACTTCATATCCAGACCTAACAACATGCTTCTGATAAAACAGATTCCAGGAAGATAGTAATTATCGGCAGTTTGTTTTGCTTCAGGGCTCCACAGGTAACCCACGCTGTTCTCTAACGCAGACTCAGCCTCCCAGTTTGAGAGATTACAGGCATGTGCCGCCACTCTGATCTTCTGAAATTTTTATCAGTTGATACATGTCCATGGGAAAGAAGTACAAGGACTCAGGATTCTGCCCACCAGCTGGTGCCCGCTTTCCTGGAGTTCCATTTGGAGTGTTTCTTCTAATGTCCTTCTTAACTCCAGACCTGAAACTTGACGTATTGGCTTCTCCTTTTGCTCCCTGATAAACCCCACTTGAGATGGTATCTACTGATACCTTGCTGTGAAGGGTTAGTATGGCTACCTAGGGGACCAGCCCCCAGATAGCTCAGGGCTCGAAGGGAAATCCACACAGTCTAGACTTTTTGCGTACTAGACTTTTCTATCTGAGGGGGTTAGGGAAAAAGACACACACACTCTCTTGATAATTTCCTTCTTTATTCTCTATTCTCTGTTCTTTATACTATGTGTGTTTTTCTACAACTTACATACCCCAACAAAATCTTTCAGGCAATACAGGAATCACAATATCGTTACATTCTATTTTTCAAGTCAATGATTATAATGGATACAGGTAAAAACATGTTTTTCATCTCCCTTACATGATTAAAAACAAAGTCACCCTAATAACCCACATACATTACATCTAAGTAACTTGTTACAGATTAACAGAACATGAACAAGCAGAACGCATTTTTTTTTTTTCTCAGCCAACTCTTTTGTTGGCAGGCTGCATATTGTGGTTACAAAGAAAGAATCAATCACTTTATTATTTATCTTGAAAGGTCATCTTATAAGGAATCTTAAAGGAATCACAAACGTAAGATTTTGTGCATAGAAACGATCAGTACTGTACTTTAGGGTACATATCCGTTCATCAATAGTGTTTTCTATCAGGAGATTGAGGGTAGGGATGGGTACAAGGAATTAATCACCACCTTTGATCATCAACCAAACCTAGCAAGGGAAGAATGCTAGCTAGCAACAATTGGGCTGCTTTGTGTTGTTGATCCTAATCTAATGAATCTATACTTGAGCTATGTGTCTTTGTGAGCTCTAGATTGTTTTCTGGAGTTTTTTGTCTTAAGGCTATTATCAAAGCATCTGATTTAACCTGAAGGTATTTTAAAACTTTGTTTCAGCTAATGATGAGATCCTGTTTCCAAACAACTATAACAAAAACCCACAATTTTTTTCTTTTTTGATAGTGGTACAATGTGCATGACTTAAAGTTTACTTTAAAAACTCTTGCAGGAGATTTTTGAGGTAGAGCCTCATCATGTGTTCTAGGCTGTCCCAAGCTCTGGTTTTACATCACTACAGGCATGTACCACCACCCATTTGTGTGTGTGTGTTGGGAGGCCAGAGGTCCACCTGCTGTAGTTCTTCGTGGACCGTCCCCTCTCATTTTTTGCTATAAGCGTTCTCCTTGGCCGGTGTTCACTGAGTGGGTTAGGCAGGTAGAGCAGAGAGCCCCTGGGATGTCCTGACCCCATCTCCCTAACCCCCAGAGCTGAGATCACACAGCCATGTCCCCACGCCTATTTTGGTTTTTTTTTCTGACATGGGTTCTGGGGGATTCAACGCAGGTCCTCAAGCTTTCAAGGCCAGCCCTGATTTTAACCTTTGTTCAGTGGCATTAAGTACATTCCTAATGCTGCCCACCGGTCTCCACCCATCTCCAGGTCCTTCGAATCTTGCAGAATTGGAATCCCACGCCCTCAAACACTTCCCATTCCCCTCCCTCTTCCCTAGCTCCTAGCAACGCGCATTCTACTTTCTGTTTCTGAATTAGACTATTTTAAACACTTCAAGTAAGTGGGGTTGTACGGAAACCTTTTGTGTTTGACTTACCTCACTCGGCACAGTGTCTTCAAGGTCCGTTCAAGCTGTGGCATAGGCCAGCATTTCCTTCCTGGTAGAGACTGGGGAACATCTTGCTGTACACAAACATCATGCTACATTTCTCTGAATTTGACAGTAGACACTTGGGCTGCCCCTGCCTTTTGGTGTGTGACTGATGCTGCTGTGAACCATCTACTGATTACTTGAGTTTCGTTCTTCTGTGTATATACTCAGATGTGGGACTACTTACTGTGTTACATGGCAACTCTGTTTTTAGTGTTTAAGGGATGGCCACACTGCTCTAAGTGGCTGTTCCACTTTGACTTCACAAAGATTCCCCCACTCTTTTTGAGACAGGGTATAATTCTTTCTGACATAGAATGAATGATGTAGCCCAGGCTGGCCTCAAACTCATAGAGATCCTCCTACCTCTGCCTCCCATGTGCTGGGATTCAAAACCTTCCATTTTCCCTTCAGCTTATTAATACTAATAATACTACTAATAATAGTAATGTTCTGTCTATGTAAATCTCTGTTTCTGTCTGTCTGTCTGTCTGTCTGTCTGTCTGTCTGTCTGTCTGTCTCTCTCTCTCTCTCTCTCTCTCTCTCTCTCTCTCTCTCTCTCTCGTGTGTGTGTGTGTGTGTGTGTGTGTGTGTGTGTGTGTGTGTGCGCGCACGCGCGCGCGTGCGTGCGTGCCTGGCCTCAATCTTCTTGTCTCAGCCTCTCTAGTGGCCAGGACTACAGCATCTACTCCGTCCCTAGTGTCCACTTTTCTTTCTGATTTGTTTTGTTGAGCTGGCCTACAAGCGTGCACCACCACACGCCACTATTTATCTCCTTTAGAGAAGTGTCTCCTTATGTGGAAAGGTCTAAAAGCCCACTGCCTCAGTTTCCCCGCATTAGGAAACAAAAATTGACAGAGGAAAATGGGGAAGGAGAGTCTAAATCCACGCCACCCCCAGTACCTGTGACCGTCTCGCCATTTAGATGTAAAGCGTATTAAAGGAAGGAAAATTAACCGAGAGACAGGCAACAGAACACCAGAGAACCTGGCCATGGCTCCTCCATTGCCTCTGTTTGCTACAGAAAGAGTTATCTGTTAAGTCTGGGCTGAGGACAGTGGGGTCTTAAAGACGATGCTCCATTTTTGAAAGAGGAGTGGGTCAGATGGCTTGTGGGATGTTGTAAGAACCGTAAGAGTCTGCACTCACTGGGGCCTGGAGGAGCTCCTTGTCCCTCTGTCCATTCCTCTGAGAGGCAAAGAGCGGAGGTCTTTCTTCCGTCCTTCCCTCTCTCCCTCCCTCCCCACCCTCCTGTCTTAGTTTGGTTAGTGTTGCTATCTTAAAACACTGACCGGAGCCAGGCAGTGGAGGCGCATGCTACACAGAGAAACCCTGTCTCGAAAAAACATTAAAAAACAAAACAAAACAAAACAAAACAAAACAAAACAAAACAAAACACTGACCAGAACCAACTTGAGGGGAAAAGGGGGGCTATTTATTTATTTATTTATTTATTTATAATCTGGCTTCCACTTCCACGTCACAGTCCCGCACCAAGGGAAGCCAGGGCAGGAACCAAAGCAGAGGCCATGGAGGGGTGCTGCTTACTGGCTTGCTCTCCATGGCTTGCTCAGCCTGCTTTCTGACCACCTGTCCAGCCCTCCTACATCAGTCATTAATTAAGAAAATGTCCCCACAGACTTGCCCATAGGCTTCAGCATTGTCTCAGTTGAGGTTCCCTTTACCCAGATGACTAACTTGTGGCTTGTGTCACCAAATATATATATGGTTTCGCCATATAGTTTTGGTGCCTGTCCTGGATCTCTCTCTGTGAACCAGGCTGGCCTCGAACTTGCAGAGATCTGCCTGGCTCTGCCAACCGAGTGCTGGGATTGAAGGCGTGCGCCACCACCGCCCGGCCTACACACACACACACACACACACACACACACACACACACACACACACACACACATCTCTGTGTGTGATATATTTATAGATAAAAATGTTATAGATAAAACTTGCTATGTAGTTCCGGCCAGCCTTGATCTCTTTGAGCTCCTCCTGCCCCTGCCTCATATTTATTTATCAGTTTACTTACTTATTGCACCTGTGAGGGTCAAAGGTCAATTTGTGGTTATTGGCTGTCTCCTTCCTCTTTGTGTGTTCTGGGACTCGAACTCAGGTCCATCAGGCTTGATGGCCAGCATTCTTACCCACTAGGTCATCTTGCCTGCTGGCCTCAGCCTCTGGAGTGCTGGGATTCCAGGCGTGGGCCACCGTATCTGGCTTAATGTCCTCACTTTGGAGGTCAGCTTCAGTTCTGACCCCGGCATGCCTGGTAAACACACCAGTTTTTCAGGTGAAAAGGATGGGAGTTAGAGGGAAAGGATCTGGCAGTATCTCCTCTCCTGCTGGGGGCATCAGCACGAGGTCACGGTAACTGTCAGGGCTGGGGGTGCCCCAGAAAGCTGAGTCCGCGTGGTCCTGCAGCTACAGGTGATTTTGTTCCTCTCCACAGAGCCTTCAGAGGGGCTGGTGCAGCAGGTTCAAGGGATCTGGGCTGCCCTCCCCCACTTCCCCCCTCCTGCCCCGCCCTGCTCTGCCCTCCCCCACTTCCCCCCTTCTGCCTCATGTGCGCTTTTCTCAAACCTTCCGTCTCCTCCTCCGGGGCTCCTCGGTGTTCCTGCCGCATCACCCGCACCTGGCACACAGCGCTCCTCTGGAGTCAGAGGGTCTGTCTCCGGTCTGAATGCTGGCGCTGTCCCTTGCTGGTACGACTCTGGGGAAGTACCTAACTCAGCCCCAGTTTGGTTATTTGTCACTTAGGAGTACAGACACCTGCCTGAAAAACACCCAGACCTAGCACCTGCCTCCCAGAGCCTCCAGGCTTCAGTGACTCGGAAGCGGCATCACAGTGCAGGCTGTGAGCTGGCTTGTACCCAGGACTCCAACATCTTCCCCACGCCTCGTGCCTCCAGCCTCCCCAGTACCAGGATTGCAGGGGTGTCCCCCAGGCCAGCGCCACCCCGTGCAGTGCTGAGGGTCAAACTGAGTTACATCTCCGGATCCAAAGTGGATATTTTTGTTTGTTTGTTTGTTTGTTTTTGTTTGTTTGTTTGTTTTTCGAGACAGGGTTTCTCTGTGTAGCTTTGTGCCTTTCCTGGAACTCACTCTGTAGACCGGGCTGGTCTCGAACTCACAGAGATCCACCTGGCTCTGCCTCCCGAGTGCTGGCATTAAAGGCGTGCACTACCACCGCCCGGCCCAAAGTGGATATTTTAAAACTTTTAAAAATGTTCATTATTGGAGCCAGACAGACTTGGTTTAAATGCCACTTTGGAAGCTGAGGTGATGTTGCTGGAAGAGACAAGGGGATTGTCGGGGCTGGCTGGCTGGCAGCCTAACTCCAGATTCAGTGAGAGACCCTGTCTCCAGGGAAGCAGACAGCGACAGAGCAGGGAAGGGAGGGAGCAGGAGGTGACAGAGCAGGGTGCTCGATGTTTTCTGGCATCTGCACACTTGGATAGGAACACACACACACACACACACAGAGAGAGAGAGAGAGAGAGAGAGAGAGAGAGAGAGAGAGAATAAATATACAAAAATTACAGCTTTGCCACTTTCTGCTAACTTTGAGAAAATTATTTCCCCCTTTCTTGCCTCAGTTTTCCCATCTTTAATTGTTTTTTAATGTTTCTTTTCCCAGTATGTGCTGTGTATATGAGAGTAGGCATGCTTGCTACAGATGACAACTTCGAGGAATTGATTCTCTCCTTCTCCCCACTAAGTTCTGTGGGTGGACTTTGGGTCTTCTGGTCTATGACTAGGGCTTTTACTGAGCCATCTTGCTGGCACACTCCATACCTATTTATTATTTTACAATTTTATTTGATGTGTATGGGTGTTTTTGCCTGCATGGATGTATGTGCACCACATGGGTGCCTGGTGTCCACGAAGGTCAGAAAAATGGACTGGATCCCCTGGAACTGGACTTACAGCTGATTTGGGGCTACTGTGCGGGTGCTGGGAACTGAACCCAGGTTCTCTGCAAGAACAGCGAGGGCTCTTAACTGCTGAGCCATCTCTCCAGCCCACTCCCCAGCTTCAGATCCCAGCCAGGTGTGGTGGCTCACACCTGTAATCAAGCGCTTGAGAGGCTCAAGCAGGAGGATTGCTGTGAGTCCCAGGCCACCCTGGGCTTCAGAATGAGACCCCGTCTCAAAGATCAAAACAATGACAAAAACACCAGGCGTGGTGGCAGAGGCAAGAGTCTAAGTCAGCCTGAGTTACATAGTGAGTTCCAGAAGAGTTGAGCTAAAATGTGAGACTTTGTTTCGGAATCAAACAACAAACATGAGGAGGGAGGGCCTGGTGCTTCACACCTGTGACCCCAGCACTCATTCGAGGTCAAAGGTCAGCCTGGTTTATCTACCTAGTAAGTTTTTTTTTTTTTTTTTTTAAGATTTATTTATTTATCATGTTTACAGCATGTATGACTGCAGGCCAGAAGAGGGCACCAGATCTCGTTACAGATGGTTGTGAGCCACCATGTGGTTGCTGGGAATTGAACTCAGGACCTCTGAAAGAGCAGCCAGTGCTCTTAACCTCTGAGCCATCTCTCCAGCCCTACCTAGTAAGTTCTTAAGTCGTTGTAGGCGATAGAGAGCCCTTGTCTTACAAAACCAATCCGTCTGTGCACACATGTGTACAGTCCCTGGTGGTGGGATTTGATGGGGCTTATTGCCAGGGTTCTGAGGCCCCTCGGATGGATGAGCCTGAAAGGTTTCATGAAATGTTGAACTTGATGGGCTGAATGGGCATGGTGGTTGGGCATATTTTTCTGTTTACTGCTGCCCTCCTGGTTTTAGCTTTTGGTTTTGCTCTTTTTGTTGTTTATTGTGTTTTTCCAGGCAGAGTTTCTCTGCGTAGCCCTGGCTGTCCTGGAACTCGCTTTGTAGACCAGGCTGGCCTCAGAGACCTGCCTGCCCCTGCCTCCCGAGTGCTGGGATTGTGCCACTATTGCCTGGCTGAACTGTTCTTTTTAGGCTAAGCTGGGAGGAGCATAAAAGCATGAGATGCCGAGTCCTTGCCACAGTTTGAGGTTCGTTTATGAGTTAACTTGCTGTGTGAACTTAGACAAATTGCTTTCCCTCTCTGGGCCCATTTCCTTTATAGACAATGAAGCGGGTAGGTGGGTTCTTTTTCCAGCACCTCCACTGTTCCTGTGTGGTTTTCTTTCCTTCTGGAGGTAGCATAGCCCATTGAAACTTCTCTCCCAAGCAGAAACAGACTCACCCTCTCCTCTGCCTCTTAGTGATCTGTTACTCTACTCCTGGGTTGGGGTGCTTCATGTCTTATGCTTGGTGGTATTTTTAACTTCTTAGTGGAAAATGCTGAGAGGACAAGAAGATCTGAGTCGTTCCACCCCTTGCCCGGCGAGGGCCAGAGCCAGGTCCCCGGGGCCCAGCTCAGCTTTGATTCTAGGCCACCTCTTGCCTCAGCTGTGGAAGACAGTTCCCAGGAGGGAGTGGCCTCTGCCACAGCTGTCCCCACCCCTCTTTATCAGGGTTTCCTTCACCCATCCCAGGCATGAGTCACCGATCCTTCATGTATTTTATTGCAAAAAAGGCGAGCTTAAGGAATTACTGTTAATAGCGTTTATATCTTGAGATATGTATCCTTCTGGCTTTTCCCTTCCTGTGAATGTATGTATTGTAATATATAATATATGATAATATAAACATGAGTTTTAGAAACTTTGGATCAAAGCATATATCTTTTTTTCTATTCATTATATTATATCTTCAATGTTTTTTAAAATATATGTTTTGAAGTTTTATTTTTTAAAGATTTATCTCCTCTTTTTTTCATTTTTGTTTTATGTCTGTGGGTGTTCTGCCTACACCCTTGCCTGTTCACCACACGTATGCAGTACCTACAGAGGCCATCTGGAGGAGCTTCAGGTGGACTGGAGTTCCAGAGGGTTGTGAGCTGACATGTGGGTGCTGGAAATCAAACCCAGGTCTTCGGGAAGAGCAGCTGGTGCTCTTAACCACATCTCGGTCTCTCCAGACCCCTTGAAGTTTTTTTGTTGTTGTTGTTGTTTTTGTTCTTAAGTACTGGTTGGCCTGGGATGCTCTGTGTAGACCAGACTGGCTTTGATTTTCTACGGTCTGGGCTTAAAGACACGCACCCTGAAGTTTTGTTTTCAGTAGATACAGAATAATCAGGCACATTTGTGGGACCATGTAATGCTTTGATACACATTTACATCATGTAACACAAAACAGATTTTTCTCCAGGCTACTGTCTTATACGGGTCTATCATAATAGACATGGCTAGTCCTCTAGTTTGGAGAGTTCCTTATTCCCAGATTCTGATTTTAAAAAATAACATTGTGTGGCCCAGTGGCAGTGGCACACGCCTTTAATCTCAGCCCTAGGGAGGCAGAGGCAGGAGGATCTCTGTGAATTTGACAGCCAAGTCTACATAGAGAAACCCTGTCTCGAAAAACCCCAAACCAACCAACCAACCAATAAACAAACAAACAAACAAACAAATAAAATAAAGGGATTATATGTTTTGTCTTTGTTTTTGAGACAGGGTCTCCTCTGTACTTGCCGTGAACTTGAGGCACTCCTTCCTCCTCGGGTTCCCAGGTGTTAGGATTCAGATGTGCCACCATATCCAGCTCATTGTGTTGATCTGACTGGGTTCCAGGGTCCATGAGTCCCTAACACAGCCCTTCTTTCTCCCGACAGAGCCCAGGAGCACTCCCGCAGGGATCCTTGGAAGCCCCACACAGGTGAGCTTTCCCAGAAAGGGCCAGGACATGCACTGCCCCACCCCAGAATGTGGTTTCAGTGCCATTTGGGTCTTCTAGAGTGTGGCTGTGGGCCGGTTCCCTTCCCTCAAAGCTGTAAGGCGCCATCTGCCTGGCTCTGGTGGCTACTGCTTCATCCTGAGCTGTTTGGACACCACTGACAGCTTGCTTTGAGACCAGATTCAATTTATCCATGGCCTCCCCTGTGGTAGCCTGGTATCGTGAAGTATTGGAAAGAGGATTATGTCTGAAGCTGCTTAACGAATTCCTTTACTAATCCAATTTCCCACCCAACTCTATCTCCCTGCGTGGTCCTTAATTCCCTCAATACTGAGCAGGAGCCTTTGTTCCTCTGCCCCCCAAAGCACAGAGAAGGAGGCAGAAGTCTGGGCCTCACATGCAGGCTTCCCAGGGCTTCCTAGAAGGGATGTCTTCATGGGGCTGTCCTTGTGAGGCTTTTCGGTGCCTTTACAGGCAGAGGCAGGTAAGTTCTTTCCTCCAGGCAGGTCCTAAGGAACTGACGCTAACTGAGGACTGGCCACCTTCTCCACGGTGTGGGTAAAACCTCAAAATCGGCTCCAGAAGCAGAACTTCAGCCTGTCTGGACTCAGAAATCTGCCTGTCTCGTAGCTAGCTAGTGAGACGTGGAGCTGGGGTGCTGGGATGGGCTTTTTCCGGGAGGCTCCCACTGCACCTGGCAACAGACCCCATGGACCGCTGCTTTGTTTACCGAGCACATCTCCGTGCCTTTGGCAGAGACAGGGGCGGAAAGAACTCTTCCCCTGGGGTAGGGAAAGCGAGCCACACCAGTGACGGTTATGAAAATCGGGCCCGGACAGGTTCCGGAGACCGAAAGGAGGTGGTGGCTTTGAGGAAGTGCGGATGAATGTCGAGCAGGCTGCTGATGAGGGTCATCTCTCCTAGGTCTCTGACGAGGACTATGACGATGAGGAGGATTGGTACAGTTCTCTAGAAGCAACAAGCAGCCCGGGTAAGCCCCAGTGTCTTGGTCTTCCTCTGGCCTGCAGGAGAACTCTCACTTGGAGCCTTAGCAGAGGATCAGAGGCAACAGCAGTCTTCCATCGTTCTCTGTAACTCGTTGCAGTATTTAGGACCGAACCCAGGGCCTTGAGCATGCTAGCTGCGGCACCAGCTCCTCTTTCATCACTTTCCTGTGCCCGTCTGATGTTGTCTGCTAAGACACAGTGAGGCCCATGGGAAGAATAGAGCAGCAAGCCGACTTGCAGTCAGTCTACAGTCTGACTGAGCAGACTATGGTCGGCATTGCTGGAGACGGAAGTGGAGGATCCGTGGGAGGAGACCCTGTTTAGGGAGTCACCGGCTTTGTGTGCAGAGACGCACCGGCCCAGCCAAGAGTGTGGTCTCTCATTCGACTCATAAAGGTTTCTAGGGACTGGGCCGCAAAGGGTCTCGGCAAAGGTAGACGGGATTTTGGGTGGGAAGGGAGATCAGGGAAGAGCTCTGCAGGAGAAGGGACGTGGCATGTCTGGAGCTTGAATGCCAAGTTGGGGATAGACACAAGATGACACCCCAGGGGAGACATGGCGCCCAAATGCTTGTCGAAAGTCCTTGAGTCTCGAGTCTCGCTGGCCTGCTCCCCGTGGATCTACCACCACGGAGTCCTCCTCCGAGTCTCTTCTCTCATGTGCCCTCTGCCTGGCAAAGGACACCGGGCAGGCCCTCGAGTTGGCTGCCAGCAGAGAATCAGCCCCGTATCGCCTGTGAGTGGTGCAGCCATTCTGCAAGGAGCCTGCGCAGTGGCTCTTGAGATCTGGCTTTGGCCAGCGAGTTGGCAGTTTAGGTACCCGCCGACCGACTGACTGAATCTTCCCTCCTCCCTTCCCTCTCTCCTACCCTTCATCCTAACTTCCTTTTCTCTACCCGCCCCCTCCCTCCCAGCCTCAGCGCAAGAATCTTCCTCAGTATCGCTTCCCACATTCCTGGTGGCTGGAGGAAGCATGGCGTTTGGGTTTTTCCTCTGTGTCTGCATCATCTTGAGGTGAGATGGTTCCTGGGGCTCGGTGCTGTACTCTGTGTCTTAGCTTTCATCTGCCCGGGTGGTATCAGAACCTCATCCCTTTCTTTATTCAGCAAATGAGCACACAACACACCTGCTACACTTACAACCACTCTGAGTCCTGGGTGCTGCTGCAGGAGGCCAGGGACAGGGCAGGTACTGTCTAGTGAGGAAGCCAGTCCCTGACACGGAGGCGCTGACGTGGCCAGAGCCACAGTAACACAGCTGTGGTAAGGAGGAGATGGAGGACCTTTGGCAGAGAGGTCTCCACACGCCAGCTCCCGGGGTCCTCCCAGGGGCCCTGAGCCGGCTTGACAGCTCACACAGCCAAAGACATCAGGCTGTGCTCAGCCCGGGGCTACTCCTCTTTGATCCTTCCCTCCTTTCCTTATTTTCAGTGTGGGAGTTCAAATCCAGGGCCAGGCAGGAGCTCTGACATTGAGAACTGTATCCCTGGCCCCAAATTGTGATTTCTCAGCGAGGTAGTGAGCAAACTGTTGAACGGCTGTGCCGAAGGCGAGGATCTGACTGGGCTGGAGCAGCTTTACACATGGGGGCCAAACAGGAGTGTGCCCACACCTGAGATCTGCCGCTGGACGCCTCGCCACAGGCACAGACTCAAGGCTTCTGCTTCTGGTTCTGCATTCGTGTGTGTGTGTGTGTGTGTGTGTGTGTGTGTGTGTGTGTGTGTGTGTGGTCTGCTGTTACTTGCCACATTTATTCTGTGTATATAACTCTAAATTCTGTGCTCAGTAGTTAAGAATACTTGGTGTTCTTGCATAGGACCTGAGTTGGTTCTCAGTACCCGCTCTGGGTGACTTACACTACCTGTAGCTCTAGCCCCCGGGGATCCAATATCTTCTTCTGGCCTTTTTGGACACCTACATTCACATGCACATATGCACCACAGATACACGTGCATATAATTAAAAATAATTTTTAAAAAATACTTCTAAATCCTACCTTTTTAAAAAGTATCTTCACATTTTTTTGTAAATATTTTCACTTTTTGTTTTGCTTTCTAAAGACAGGGTTCTCTGTAACCCTGACTGCCCTGGAACTCACTTTGTAGACCAGGCTGGCCTCAAACTCACAGAGATCCGCCTGCCTCTGCCTCCCAAGTGCCGCCACGTCTCGCCCAGTTTCACACTCTTTGTAAACCTCATATTCACTAGCAGTAAGTTTTTCTTGTAAGGACATAAACCCAGTTAACTGTTAGCAGGGATTGGAAGATATTTTGCATTGATAAACAGCACTGTGCTTTTAAGCATCTTTGTGCTTACAGTTCTTCCACGTTTATATCATTGTCTTAGGGTTCCATTGCTGTGAAGAGACACATGACCAAGACAGCTCTTATAAGAGAAAGCCTTGAAGTGGAGGCTTCTTTGCAGTTCCAGAGGCCTAGCCCTTTGCCATCACACAGGGAGTATGGAGGCAGGCGTGGTGCTGGAGAAGTCCTTGAGAGCTACATCCTGATCCACAGGCAGAGAGAGAGAGAGAGAGACAGAGACAGAGATAGAGACAGAGAGAGAAAGGAGAGGCTGGGCCTAGCTGGCTTGGGCTTTTAAAACCTCAAACCCACCACTAATGACAAGCTTCCTCCAACAAGGTTGCACCTTCTGATCCTTCTAATCCTTTCAAATCGTGCCACCCAGCATTCAAGTATGTGAGCCTATGGAGGCCGTTCTTATTGAAGCCACCACAGTCACTTTTAGGGTATTTTCTGAGAACACGAATTCCTGGGTCAGAGGGTCTGAGTCAATCCGTCCATGGTGTAGCAGTGTAGCAGAACTCTCACAGGGAGAACTCCACTCAGCGACTGGGCACACTCCCTTCGCACGCCTGCTGGGCTCTCTTCCTGCATCCAAGTAACATTCTGCAGATTGTTTATGCTGTTTGCCTAACAGGCCAAGAGCCAACGGCAGATTCAGAGCCAGCTATCAATCATTTATCATAACAAGAACAAGAATAGCCTGCTGGTACGGAAAGAAAGCCCAAGAAAAATGCCCAAATCTTGTTTTTCACATCGGCGTCCGCTCCTCCCTCACAGCCCTTCCTTGGGTAGTTGGCATGTGATGGAATTGAGTGGGGGTCACCTTACTCCCCACGTTGGGGGTCCGTACACAGCAGGAGGTCAGCTGTAGAGGAGGAGGTCAGAGGAGAAGAGGAGGCCCTGGTCTAGCACCCCTAGAAAAAGGGCCCCTTGGGAAGGAGCCCCCCCCCTCACCTCGGCAGATCTGTATCTGCGGCTCAGCTTTCTTCACGCCGCCAGCTGACTTTCTCATGGTTGCTGAGCCTGGCCTCGGGCCCAGATAGCACGCTGAGGAGGCTGTGATCAGAGCGATGTCTATCTCCTTCCTGCCTGCCATTGACTTTCCTGTCAGATGAGTCAACGCGTGCCCGGTGGTGCCCTCCTCGGAGCATGAAGTCTCTCCCTCCTGGGGTGGGGTGGGTGGAGGTGTCTGGAAGTCTGAGGATGGGACTGCTGATGGCACAGGACAGGAGAGAGAGAGAGAGAGAGAGAGAGAGAGAGAGAGAGAGAGAGAGAGAGAGAGAGTACAGGGACCACACAGCCTGCTTTCTGCTACTCATCGCAGCCTGTGAATGATCTGCCTCCTGCCAGCCTTAGTTGGACCAAGTTCCATTTTCCTTCCCCACTGAGAGAATATTCTCCTTCTCTTTTTTTACATGAATGGATAGCGAGCCAATGGTACGCGCCTGCCTCACGGGCCGCCTCTGGCACAGGGCAAGTTAAGGGTCTGTCCGGTGACTTCTGGAGTGCGTAAAGGGACACTCACATTTCGTTCCCTTTGTAAATGGGGCCGGTGAGATGTGGTCTTGGTTTGGAACCTCACCAGCTCTTCAGGGTGTGGGGAGTCCTCTGATGATGAGAACGTGAGAGTCAGTCGTCAGCATTTCTGTAAGCTGAGCGTGGGCATGCCTAGCAGCCAGGGCGGCCAGCTGCTGCTGGTGTTTTTCACTGCGACATTGGCCCGAGAGGAAGCTCACATCTGCTTGTTTGCTTTTGTGTGTGTTTGTCTAAAGGCTCAAGAAGACATGGAAGCCCCAGGCCGTGAAGGAGAGCAAGAAGAGTTCTCCCCCGCCATATTCCTTGGGGCAGCTGAAGCCGACCTTCATCTTGGTCCCTCTCCTCACCTCCGCAGGGTCCCCCGACAGCTCTAGGCCTGACAATACCTTAAGCCACAGCTGCCTGGGTGTCGGGGACCTGCAGATCCCGTATGGCACCAGCCATAGAGACTACTCATTCCCCAGATAGACGTCCGGATGGTGCCTGGCAGCTCGCACGGCGTCAGGAGATGGGCACACATGTTTCTCACCGCCATTCCGGTTCACTTGGGTCCCGGGTGGGTGGGGGTGGGGCTGCAGCCCCGTTTCCCACAAGAACCTTGCAGAAGATTCGGAACGGGTCAAGACTGGTGTGCTGCATGCTCCAAAGGAAGGGCTTGTGAGGGACACAGGCCCCCGTGAAGAGACCCGCGGGGACTCTGGATAGAGGTGCTCGTCATCCACAGCCTTCACAAGCTGCACCCTCAGCATAGCCTCAGGTAGAGGTGCCAAAGGTTGCCCCAGTTGCCTAGCTCTGGCTCACTGCCCTAACCCACCTTTTAGCTTGAACTCTTAAAATCCAAGCGCCTTTGACATTCTCTTTTCCGAGGCCAGTGAGGCTGGGGAGGGAACTCGTTCCTTCCTTCCTCCTCAGTACCTGGAAAGCCACTGGAAAAGCAGCTGCAAGTCCCGGCTGCGGTGACTGATAACTCAGGGCCTGATGGTTTTAAAGGGAATGACAATTAGCGTCTTATGAGCATTTTCCAAATGTGAATGATGATCCCAGGCACTGCTGACTGTAGAAGTTTTATTTCCTTCTTTGATCTCAGGACTTCAGGAGAAGAGAAGCAGAAAGGAAGTCGGGAAGGACAGATGTCCACTGTCCCTGTTGTAGTTGAGGGGGACACAGCCTCTGAAAACACGTTTTCTGCCCCCCACTCCCAGGGGAGGGATGGTGTCAGTGAGGACCTCAGCCAGGGCAGAGTGCAACTGCTTTACCCCGGCCTTGCCCATACTGGTTTCAACTGGACCTGAGCTACTAGAAAAGATGACATTCATGCAAAAGGAAAACCTTAACTAGCAAGAAAGCATTTTTATTTTGCTTTTCACGAAACTGTTTCCTGAGCCAGCTGGTAGTGGCGGTGGCGCACGCACGCCTTTAATCCCAGCATTTGGGAGTCAGAGGCGGGAAGATGTCTGTGAGTTCGAGGACAGCCAGAGCTACACGGAAAAACCTTTCTCAGAAAACAAACAAACAAACAAACAAAAGAAAACTGTTGCCTGTTTCTCTTGATTCTGGAAGAGGCCACTCACTGTGTGCTTGTGTGTGAGCCACCCCTGGGAGTGGGGGTGGGGGACGACACAGTGGCTTTGTTTAGCGCAAAAGCCAAGTCAAGTGAACATCGAGAAAAACGACTGTGTTCTGTAACAGAAAAGACTTCAGTTTCATTCTGTATCTTTTTTTTTTTTTGGCCTAAAAAGTACAAAAATAGTCTGTACTCGGCTCCAGGGAATGAACGCTTGCCAGGCTCAGGAAGGAAGGTGTCCGCTTCCTGTGATACCTCACTGCCACCGTGGCCACGCTACAGAGTCCCTCCTTCCAGTCCCCTCCGGCTTCTCCCTGGGGCTTTGAGAATTCCGTGATATTAGCGGTCACCCAGGAGACAGCGAGCGGTGCTGTGATTAAAGTGATTTTGCAGTCATTAATTCGCCTGTTTACCAGATCCCAACACCTTGCTAGTGGCCTACCTTTTCGGAAAATGCCACCACCACGGGACAGGTGGTGGGGCTCAGGAGTCGTCAGTGTGCTGTCTGCTCTGCCGCGCCAAGGTGCCGCTCTCTTAAGCAGGTAGCTGTTTCCTTTTCGGGTTTTGTACGTTTCAGGGCCTGTGCTGTCTTAGAAAAAGGTGTAAGTTGACAGAAAACAGGCAGGTATTCATGTCTTTTTTTTTTTTCCCTCCTTTGCTAAGTTTCTGGGACTCAAGAGTAGCAAAAATGCTGTGAAAGGGAAATATTAGAAATAGCGATCTTCAGGGGATAGGTGAGTGTGCCCACGCACACACGATTCTTCAGTTCTTCACATGGCTTTGCCCACACCCTGTTACCAAAGCCAGGCAGAGCGAGCTGGTGGAAGATTGAAATCCAGATATCTCATTATCTCTGAAAGCCAAAGAGCTTTGATCTCCAAGTTGTTATTGCTTTCGCTATTATTCTAACAGGACAGCCTCCCCGCCCCGCAGTATCAAAAGGATGCTTTTTCCTTTTTCCTTTTGACTCTCAATAAGCTAATGCCAAGGAAGTCGTTCCATCTGAGCTCCAGCGTCGCCCAGTGCACACAGGTATTGGCCCTCAGCTGCTTCTGGCCTCAAATCTGTGCTGGCTGAATGCGTGTCTCCATCCTTGGGTTGTTCTTACTGGCGTTTCTGCAGCCCCACAGGCCGGCTGCCTTGTCCACAGTATCATCATCACTAACTGAACACCTGCAGTCAGCAACCAGGCAGCCAGATGTGGAGGGTTTAGACATGGGTTAAACATGACCTCCCCTGCATGGTAGGAGGAGAACTCGTACCGGCTCAAGTTCTAAGGTGATCTCTGGTTCTTCTGGCTTTAGTGAAATAGCTTTGAAACCTTTCAAGCATCGGCTGTGCGCCCGAGACGTTTGGTGACTGAGTGCTTTTTTTCCGTGAGCATTTTCTTTGCAGTTTCTCGCCTGACTCTACGCTCCCGTTGAGTTTTTGCCATGTCCCTGATGTCTTGGGAGAAAGGAAACTGGCGTGGGGTTTACTCCTGGAATTGGGTAGGAGCCAGTGTGGAGCCGAGCCCAGCAGGGTGGGCCAGGGTCGGCCATGCTCTGCAGGTTTAAAGAGCGCCTGGCTCGCTTGACTCCTTCTTCCCCTAGCAGTTCTGTATGGCTGACCTATTTGGGGAGGATTCCCGCACTCGGCTGCAGGTGGAGGTGAGAAACCTGTCTTCATTTGGAGAGGCAGGCTCATCCCCAGAACCTTTGCCATGCTACAGCCGACAGCGAGACTGTGGCTGGAGGAGGCAGGCCGGCTGGCGCAGGCCCTGGTACTGGGGAGGGTCTGCCAAAGGTCTTTGCAGCCCTGGTGTGGTTGGGTGCCAGTTCCAGGGAGTTTCTATGACAACCTTAATGCTTATTAAGGAACACTGTCAGTTTTGTGACCATATGCTCAGATGGAGAGCTAGTTTGCAGGGAAAGCTGGTACAGTGTGTAGCAAGCTGGAACGGACAGAGACTTTCTTGGCTGGAGATCATACCCTTTAAGCAGAATACCTCAGTGTTATATGTGTTTGCTTTTGAAACAATGTTTTTAAGGATTTTTTTTGTTTGTTTTTTAATTTTTTTACCCCTGTGTTACCTGCAAGCTGATACCTAAGCTGTTTCTGCAAAGTAGTCTAATACTTTTTTTCAATGCTTTTTTTTTTGGGGGACCACTGTTTGCTTTAAAGTGGAAATTGTAGCTGTTTGAAATAAATCCTTTCTAAAACTGCACTTGGCGTATTTTTGCTTTGGGAACCTTTTCATTAAAAGGAAAACCTGTGTGATTAGCGGGGAGTAAAGAGTGCGGAAGGGTGAACTAATGAAGTAGGAGTATTTTGAGCGGCATAGTAATCCTGACACTAGAAAAGCAGAGGCGGGATGATTTCTCCCAGTCTGAGGCTAGGGAGACCCCGTGTCACCTACACACACACACACACACACACACACACACACACACACACACACACACACAGTAGCAATTTCTCAAAAGGCTTTAATTAATAAAAGTTTCCCCCAAACCAAGCCCTGGGATTTCTGGAAGGAGGCTCACGTGTCTGTCACATTTACAATGATTGGCATTGCCAGATCGTGGGCATGTTGGGAAGGAGAAGGAAAGCCCCTCTACTTAGGCGTCTACTGGACTGTGGAGGTGACAATGGCATCCTGAGAGCCACCCTGAACTCTTGGTTATCAGATGGCTGAGTCTGTCCCCACTGTAAAGGGTCTTGGACAAGAAAAACCTGAGCCCCAGCCATCTCCATGTTCTAAACTGAAGAAAAACGGTCATGTGGATGCTTTGTAGGTGAGAGTAGGTTGGGGAGAGGAAGCTCCAGGTAAAGCTGGAGTTGGGTAACCCTGCTCTGCCCCTCACCTGGGCCCTGGAAAGCTCCCACGGCAGCCCTTCTTCCCTTGAGTCTGGGAAAGGAGCACAGGACCCAGGTGTCCCCTGGGCAGAGCCAGGAGTGGAGGGGGGCTTCCTGTCGCTGTCCTGTGAGACTGTTAGCAGCCTTTGCTGTCCCCAGAAGACACGGGGAGCAGAGGGTGATTCTCCGCAAGGACCTAAGGAGCAGTTGCTGGAAGTCTCTGCTGAGAAGCGTTTCCTTTATTTTTGAAAGCACAAGGAAAGTAACACTTTCTGCGGATCTATGGGAAGTGCAGGCCCTGCTACAGTGGCCACACTTTTGGGGGGTCGTAAGCTGTGTGAGGGCTGGGCCTGATGGGGGTGGGACAGAGTCTTGGGGGACCATGAAAATACAGAACTGAAGAAAGTGGTACTGGGAATGTGGCCCGGTTGGTAGAATGCAGTCGCAGCATGCACCGGACCCTGGGTTTGGCCCGCAGCACTGCATGCATTGCTAGTGGCGGTCCAAAACTGCATGGACACCTTGATGGTGGAGGGTGTCAGTGAGGCCATGAAATGCTCACGCCACCGGTCTAGGAAATCTCTGCCAAAATTGCTAAAACTACCCAATGTCCTTGAGAGAATATTCAAAGCTAGCCTGGACTTACATACTGAGACAGTCTCGAAAATAAATAAATAAATGAATACATGTATCCGTCAGGGCAATTGCATTCCAGTTTGGATTTTGAAGTTCTGGGTTGACCAATAAGGTTTTGATTCATTTTCCTCGTGGGGTGCTGAGGCTCAAATCCAGGTGCTCTCCCACTCATGTTGCATCCTGAACCCTGCAGTAGAAGTTTTTAAGTGATGGAGACATCGAATCACGGCACACAGGAACCTTTGGCCAGTAAGCAACCAGAGGAGGAGAGCTCTCTCCCGCCCCGCCCCCACACACATGTATTTAGCATGTTTTCCTGCAGAGCCCAATTGTGTCTCTGCAGCACCTGTTAGAATCCTGTTCTCGAAGTTTGGGAGATCTGACGTGTGTGTCTCAGAAAGTTACATGAACTCTCCAGATGGCTCTCCTGGGATAAGGATGGGCTGGAGAGAGATACGAACCCTAGGCTTTCACAATGAGCCTGGAGCTTGGGGGTGGGGTGGGGGGCCCCACAGTTCCAGACTTGGTATATGTCAGTGGCTGATTGCCTGGGTAGATGTAGCTTATCAGGGCAAGGCAGACTTCACCTCAGAATTCCAGAGGCAGAGACGTCACTGCCTGGGTGTCCCCACAGATGGGTGGCCAGCTTGGCATTCTCTGCGCTGGACCCCAGAGCCGAGGTAAGTTTCTGAAGCATTGTTGCTGTAGGTGTGACTGAGCTAAGCAAGTACTGTCTTGGGAGTTCGGCTGTGTGCCCCCTCGCAAATGCTCATCCCAATGGGGCTGGTTGACATTCCCACCCCAACAGAGGCCCAGAGTCAGACCTGAGATTCTCACCTGAGTATCCGGCTGCTCCCCATCACCTGGCAAGCTGCTGTGGCCTGGGGGCAGGGGCTAGAGTATATGGGGAATCCATATATACATATTGGGTGGAAGCCCTCATTGGTGTTCAGTAAGCCTTTCCAGAGGTAGTTGGTTGTGGGTGCATGTCCACACTCCTGTGAGCACCCCTTCCCAAGGCCCAACAAATGAACTGGTCCCCAGAGTGAACTTTGCCAGACTCCTGCCTCAGTTTGGGTTCCTGGTTGGGACCTTGAGAGGAGGGCAGACATTGCTTTACTCTCTCCCGAGGAAGGACTTTTAGCAGCAGTGGTTATTAGTCAGGAAACATTGATGGGCCCTGAAAAGGTAAATCGTCAGCCCTGTTGGTTACCAAGAAGTCCACAGACCCTTTTTGGAAGAACCAACCATCAGAATCTGCTCATAAGGGCTGGAGGTGTAGCCCAATGGGAGAAAGCGTTCCCAGCATACACAAGCCCTGGGCTCTGTTCCCACCCTTGTAAATGATACATAAAGGTAGCTAATAATAATGGCTGCCATATACCAGTTTCTCTGTGTGTTGTTTATACACAGCCATTTAGCTTCAGCCTGGGGATGTTTCCAGGTAAACATTTCACACACTTCAAGGTGGGGCAGCCAAGACTCATTCAGGAGGCTGAGTGGCAGTGGTGGCGCATGCCTTTAATCCTAGCACTCAGCAGGCAGAGCCAGGCGGATCTTCTGAGTTCGAGGCCAGCTTTGTCTACACAGTGAGATCCAGGACAGGCACCAAAACTACACAGAGAAACCCTGTCTCAAAAAACAAAACAAAACCAAAAAAGAGTGGTCCAGGATACCCAGGCTAGTTGGGAGGCAGAGCTAGACCCCAAACTTAGGTCTTCTGCACACCAAGGCAGGCTCAAGGCCCATAAGTGTTGGCGACCTTGATGGATCTTCTCTGCAGGCCACACACTCTCCATCTTGCAGTGGCAGAGGCCTGGACCTCTCACTTCAGCAAGTGTCCCCGGTCCCTCGTGGTTTGTCATGCTCCTGTGTGTACCATGAGGCCACCAGCTGAGCCAACTGGGAGTCTGGTCCCACAGACAAAGGCACGGCCCAGGTACTCTCAGGGGTGACCTCGAAGAAGCCAGAGCTGAGGGGTCACAGAGAGGAGAGGCAGAAATCACTTCCTTAAACTCAGTGCTGCTTGCCAGGGGCCGGAGTCAGGGGCTTCCCTTTCAACTGGACTTGTCCCCCGTGAGACTTGCTCCTTGCTAGTGGCTTATTTTGCAGATACTTTATGGACTTTTTAAAAACCCTCCAATTCTGCTCTGGATCATCGGGCTCTGCCATGGCGGTACAGAAAGACCAGCAGCCCGAGAGGTCACCGGAACATCTGACCTTACACAAGCTGCAGAAGACAGAAGTTTTGATTCTGAAAATTTCTAACCATTTCTCTTGAGTTCCGTCCCCAGCTCTGCTGGCCTCTTCGGGGGGGGGGGGACCTGCACATCTGTGGTAGACACCCACAAATAAAACACAAAGCGTTAAAATCTGGGCCTGGAAAGGTGCCTCAGAGGTTAAGAGCACCAGCTGTTCTTCCAGAAGGTTAAAGTCAATGGAAAACCCAGAAATCACGGAAATGTTCACATGGAGCACCCAGAATCAAATCACAGCCGTTTCTGAGAAACGTCCCTCAGTTACTTGAAATACCTTACTGAGAAGGTCTCACTTAAGGGGAAGAGCCTCCACCACTGGCTTCCTGTGGGTGTGTCGCACAGGGGGACTTATAAACTTGGGTTCTTTTAGATCTCACAAGATGAAAGCGACCGAGCGCCTCTTAGGAGGCTTTTGTTTTAGTTTTTCCGAGACAGAGTCTTGCTATGTATCCCAGGTTGGCCTCCAGTTCACAGTTCTCCCCCCTCAGCCTGCCCTGTGCGGGAGTTACACCCAGCCAGTTTTAAGAAAAACAAGTTCTTGGCTTTAAGGGCTCATCCCTCAGCTCACTAGTCCACGTCTATTCTCTGGAGCCTCCCCACCCTTAAATAAGCCATCTCTATTTCTATTTCTAACCAACTGGCCTTGGGGCGGTCCTTTGGCCTAGGACACAAGAGCCTGGACTCGGGTGTCCTCTGAACTCTGATATGCAGTCTGGAACTAAGCATGGTTTTATTTTCTTATCTCTTTTTGGATTCAGGCTGAAGCCTAAATATAGCTTTCCCTGACATGCTGGGCTTTCTCTCTGTTCTCTGACCTCTAAGCCTAATTAAAGGGCAGGACTTCCTCCTCCTGGCAGCTGGGATTTTCAGCTTCCCTGTTCCTCTATCTATCTATCTATCTATCTATCTATCTATCTATCTATCTATCTATCTATCTATCTATCTATC